TTTTTTTTTTTTTTTCTTATTAGTTTTGCTTAGATTTTGGTTAGATTTTTTTTTTCTTCTCTCTTCTTCTTTTTTTGTTGGTGCCCGTTCGTTTTGAATGAACGGGCAGACACGATGGGGCCGACTGTTTCGTCGGGCTTCCACGACTCATCTGGGGGCTTTGCCCGAACGGCCCATCTGCGGATGGGCGAATGAATCTGCTGCCTACAGGCGGCTAAGTGCGAAGTATGTGTGTGTGTGTGAGAGAGAGAGAGAGAGAGAGAGAGAGAGAGAAAGCCACTTACCTGCGCCCGTTGGTTGAGCAGCGGGCTGCAGACCGACGCCTGCACCTGGCGCCGTAGGCGTCCGGGTACGGGCGCGTGGGGGCAGTAGGAAAGAAGACCCTGTTGGGCTTGACTCTAGTTCGACTCTGTGAAATGAAAGGGCGGCCGTTCGTTTTGAATGGCGGGCTGCCCCCATACACAAAAAAAAAACGAGGAAGAAAAAAGGGGAAAAGAGAAGGAGAAGAAGAAGAAGTTGGGTAAAAGGCTTTGTACAACCTTTGGTAAGCTGCGTCTGGCCGCGGGTGAAGGCCAGATGCATTACCAAAGGTCTGAACTTAGTTTCCTTAGGGGAACATCAGACTTTCTGGCCCTTGATCGCGATCTAGATCAAGGGCCAGGCGCAGATCCGAGTTCTGGTTGTGGGCAAAGCAGCTGCCCACATGCTCTCGGTTGGCTATTAAAGCCAACATTCCACCCAGCAGCCTCACAAGTAATGGCAATGCTGCTGAGGCATTCACTTAAGTGAATGCTGGCTGGCTGCTGCTGTGAGGCGGTGCTGCTGGTGGAGGGCTGCAAGTGAGGGAGGAGAACTGCTGGAAGTGGCCATAGTTGTGGAACATAGCCATAGTCACCATCTCAGCGAGGTGAAGAAAGAGAGAGAAGCGCTGGAGGTCTGCAGGGAGCATGAAAGTGAGGGCAGCCATAGTTGCCGCTGCACTTGGTGGAGCGCAGGGGAGGTGTTGTTCGCTCGGCACGGCGACGGCAGCGGTTGTTCTTTTTTTGGCGGTAGTGCGGAAGCGCTGCCGAAAATTTGTGGCGGCGGCTATGCTTTTTCGGCGGTGACGTGGAAGCGATGCCGAAATTTTGCGGCAGCAGCTGGATTTATCGGCGGTGACGCGAAAGCGCTGCCGAAATTTTGCGGCGGCAGCTGGGTTTTTCGGCGGTGACGCGGAAGCGTTGTCGAAATTTTGCGGCGGCAGCTGGATTTTTCGGCGATGACGCGGAAGCGCTGCCGAAAATTTGCGGCGGCGGCTATGCTTTTTCAGCGGTGACGCGGAAGCGCTGCCGAAATTTTGCGGCGGCAGCTGATTTTTTTTGTGGTGACTCGGAAGCGCTGCCAAGATCTTGTGGCAACAGCTGTGTTTCTTTTAGTGGTGGTGTGGATGTGCTGTCTGGTTTCTACGGTGCCAACGACAATTTTGAGAAGTGTCGTCAAGAGGTGGTGTGCTTTGAGGTGGTGTTGACGTTGTGCTATCCGCATAGTATTGCGGCGGCGACTCCTCGACACAGTGGTGACATAGTAGTACTGGTCGCAAGTGGTGACAGCGCTGAGGCACTGAGGGGATTGCGTGTCAATGGGCGATCCTTGAGGGAGTGGTGTGGATCACTTTTCTGATAGTTTACTGCGGCGATCTTCTCATTTTTGGAGTGTGGTTTATACGGTTTTCTTG